GTCCTCAGATGCACTAATAATCAAGGAAATGTACATTAAAACAGTGAGATATTTAATATCTACTAGACCAGGGGTTATCAACCTGTGGGTCGCAACCCCTTTGGCGGTCGAACGACCCTTTCACAGGGGTCGCCTAAGACCATCCTGCATATCAGATATTTACATTACGATTCGTAACAGTAGCAACATTACAGTTATAAGGTAGCAATGAAAATAATTTTATGGTTGGGTCACAACATGAGGAACTGATTTAAAGGACCAGAAGGTTGAGAACCACTGTACTAGACTGACAACAATTAAAACACCTGCACATACAAAGTAATATTAGCAAGGATGTGAAGAAACAAACTCTTCGAAAGTACTTGAACAACAGCTCTGAGGTTGGAATTGGGCCTACCCTACAACCCCACTTGTAAATGAATACCAAGTCTACTCTCTTCTTAGTGCCCAGCACAGAGGAAAGGTAGGGCCAGTGGGACATGGAATTAGATGCTGCGGGGTGAAGTGGGGAGGACCCAGCAGCTTGCTAGGAGAAAAACTTTAAATAGAACACAGGCCAGGTAAGATAATATCAGATGCAAACCTTGCCAGGGAGATGAAACAGGGGATCAGAACCATGCTTACTTGGGGCAACCTCCTCCCAAACAGCAGCTGAATCAGTTTATCTTCTACAGCCACTCTGATCATGTTATTTCCTCCTTAAACTTCACCAGCTAAAACTTCCTAGAGCAGAGTCCCAACATGCATCAGTTCCCTGTGGACGCTCTAACAAATTTCCACAACGTCAGTGACTTAACACAAATTAATTACCTTACAGTTCTGGATATCTAAAGTCAGACATGGTTCTCACTGAGCTAGATTCAAGGAGTTAATAAGACTGTTTTCCTTTCTGGAGGTTCTGGGGAAGAATCCATATTCTTGCCTTTTCCAGCTTTCGGAGCTTCAGCATTCCTTGGCCCATGACCCCTTCTATTTTCAAAGCCAGAAATAAAAGGTAATCTTCCTCATTTCACATCACTACGACACTGATTCCTCTGCCTCCCTCTTCCACATTTAAAGACCCTTGTGATTACTTTGGGCCCACCCATGTAATCCAAGATAATATCCTTATTTTAAAATCAGCTGATTAGCAACCTTCATACCATCTGCTATCTTAAATCCTCTTTGCCAGGTAATACAACATATTCACAGGCTCTGTGGATAAAGATGTAGACTGCTTTAGAAGGCCATTATTCTGTCTACCACACAAACTCTTCTCAACTCTCCTTATACACACACCTCTAGTGGAGTCCCAACCCTTTCAAAATACTCCTCATGCCTCCAGATTCAGCACCATCACATACCCTGTTCTACCATTACATCAACTATCTTGTCTTTTTCAAATTGATTTATACCCATCCACGCCCAAACAATTACAAGTCATCTTCCAGAGCTCAGCCCAAAGGCTACTTCCACTCTGAAGCCTTCTCAGATTCCCTGCCTAAATCAATCAACCCTCTTCAACACACTAACCCAGCTTTCTGTGTATCCCAATTGAGCACTGGCGTGGCCCCCTTTAACCATCTGTTTACATGTCTTTTCTTAGGTCCAAAGTGGTGAGTCCTTCAATGATAAGAACTCTGGCTCATTCCCCTGTGGTTTCCCAGATCATATAACAGAGCCTGAAAAAGAGTAGACATCAGAAAGTATTTCTGAATCTTGGAGGAGGCAGAAGAAAGCTGCCCTGGGTTTTCTTCAACAAAACAGATGCAAAGAGTAACCTGGGTTAAGTATACACCCTACTGGAACAAAGAACTAGTTAAAGAAACATTGATGTTTCTATCTCTGACTCCTTCTCCCTTCTTCTCCGAAATCAATAAAAAGAAATATTTTTAAATGCTCACAAGAAAAACACCTCAACAATCTACTGCTTAGTTTGATGCACAATTTACTATTGTGTAGAAGAATCTCTGTACCACAAGTAACATCCATTATTTTCTATTGCTAACCCGTGGAGCAATTTCAAGAGAAACAAAGGATTTACCTAAATAATTTACAAAGATTTCTCAAAATTATAGAAGAGAGTGTAGATGTTGCTCCAACACAGCAGAGATGCCTGGCCCCACCACATACTCAGAAGGCTCTTTCGCTCTCAAGGAAGGGTGAGAAGCACCATGTCAGTGAGTGTGAGGTATGCTATAATCAATCCAGTTTAGGTAAGAACAAATTTCCTCTATGTACAAATATCTGTATACATTATAATAAAGGTACATTTTAAGGAGGGTGGTTGTTAATCAAACAGGGTCTCATTTAATTTCAATGATTTGCTACTTGATGTACATAGTAAACAAGAAAATTTCCACCTGGGGAGGAGATTAAGCAAGGGAATGGAACTGTTGAGTTGGCGAAATTATCCACTTAAAAAAGAGACAATAACATGGCTTGAGTTTTTAAAATGCACGCTTCCTTTCAGGTTCAATAAAACTCCCCTGTTCTACTTTTCTTTAATAGTGTGAATTCTGAAATTCATTTTAAAACATACTCCAAAAACCACTCTCACACTGGAAACGTTGAAGATGAAAAAAACAGATGGCACATATTCAGCACCATGGACAGTGACATCCGACTATGCCTGTAAGAGTCCTTGTCACCAGGGCTAAGAGATATCAAATCCCCGCCCCCCCATCCTCCCCCTTACCCCAAATACACAGTATTAATTCTAATGTTTAAGTTTGGGGGTGATTCTAACACATGAGCAGGTATTAGTCTTTGTTATGTCCCAAAGGACCAACCTTCTTCACCAAAGGGAACAACTTCTATCTACCAAAATCTGATTCAGTAATCATTTTTACAGTTGAGCCCTGAGATTTTTGTGACGCATGGCTATGAGTCCAGAAATTGGCTACAGGTCAAGGAACTGAAATTACTGAAACTGATACACTGCATCCAGTCTTGAATGGCTAGATTGTTACAAGGACCTCATGGGACTTTTGCAAATATAAATGCAGCATGCTCAGAGCTTCCCTCTAACAGCAGAGAAAGAGATAGCTTCTTTTTAAACATTTAAGAAAATGAACAGGTGTTGAAACTTTCTCATAATTACTTAAAAACAGTAACAATAAAGCTGTATATTTTCTCTAAACCTGAGTATTAATGACATCTGAAAAAGTGACATTCTGAGGTCCAATATCACCAGTAATCGCACCACCTGTGGCAACACTAGTCACAAAGCCCTGAATTCTAAACAGGATACCCAATCTTTTTAGTTATAAAGACTCCTTTTACTATCAAACCTTTTCCACAACTTTGTAATATTGAGTATTAACTAAGAAAATACATGAAGTTATACAAATTTTAAAATACGAGTAACGAACTTGCATGTGTATAAACAGCAGCATCTACATACAAAGAGGAAACAATAGTAACCCAACACCAGTTGGTCAGTGACTGTATTTATATTTGAAGACCCCTTGGTTTCCCGGATGTCCAAGTCTGAAAACACCATCCAAAACTTCTCCAGCTCCTCTAATGTGAGGATCAATGTGGTCTGCAGGGATTTTGCCAACAATCCCTGCAGAGTGCCACTGTTCTTCCGTCTCTTTGGACCGAAATGGGCCTCTCTGAAACATTTTAAGATGAGTTGTTCCTGTGCATGAGACTGGCCATCAGCTATCTTCAATAGGAAAGCTGCCTTGCACACTCCTTCTGTTCCCACATCTAAGCCAAGTTCAAAGAACAGCAAAGGGGCAAAGCTCACCCCTAAAAACAAATTAAATTTCAGAAGGATGTGTGAGGACCTGTGCCAGAAAGAATGGCTCGAACTAGAGACCTGGTCAAGGCCTACTTGCCCTGGTATTCCTCTTGGTGAATCGCACACCATAAATCCTCATCAACCCGGAGAGTCCTGTCCGCTGACATGCAGGGCGAACAGGCCCTGGAGCCCGTGCTGCCTGGAAGGGGAGACAGGAGGAAGAGAACCAAACCCTACACACAAGATTTAAGATCTGACTTTCTGTTAACTTTCAAACGTGTTTTGTGAGGAATATACTTCAGAGTCAGGAGAGAGCATTGAGAAAAGCCACCAGGCAAAAAGAAAAAAAAATGAACTTTCACTGAACAATACTTCCAGGGAAAAAACACTTGTGGGAACAATAAGAAACACGTTTTGACGTACCCGCAAATAAGAGAAGAAAATACAATGACCGAAAAAAAGAGGAACGTGCACTGCCTCCGGGTAACCTGCTTGCTCCTTGCTCTGACACGGGGTCCCCGGAGCAACGCAGACACCTCAGCTGCCGGGCGGGCGGCGGCCGGCGCCTGAGGGAGGGACGCAGAGGGCACCGCGCGGGTCCGGCTCTCCCGCGTGGCGCTCCGTCCCCGCGCGTCCGCGGCAGCTCCCTCGTCCCGCCGCCCAGGGCGCGGGGGATGCTGCCCCCACAATCTTTTCCAGTCACATGTGAGCAAGTTTAGGTCGTTTGAAACTTAAGCCTCACGAACAAAATCGTGGCAGCTGTTGACCCACAAGCGAGCCCATCCGGCCGTTACTGAGGGCGGTGTCTCGCCGACAACTTCTGGGGGCGAGGGGGCAGGGGGACCGGCGGAACCTCGTCACCCGAAGTCCCAATACCCACCGCCCGCCCGGCCCCCGGGCAGCCCCGGCCCCTCAGAGAGGTGGGCCGCGCGGCGCTAACCCCGAGGGCCGCGGGGAAGAGGGACTACTGGGGCCCGATCCACCCGCCGGCCCACCCGCCGGCGCCGCAGCTGCCGCCCAAGTTGGCCGGGCCGGGCGGGGCCTCCGCTCTCTCGGGGACTTGGTCGGCCCGAGACGTGCGCCCCCACCCAAAGTTGGCGGCCGCGGGAGGTCGCCGCCCGGGCCACGGCCTCCCAATCACCGCCTGGCCCGGACCCCGACCAGACCCCGACCCGGGTTTGACCCCTTGTCCCTGACCCCAACACCCTGCCGGGTCCCCAGCTCCACCTGTGGACCCCGCCCCCGGCCCCGCCCGCGACCACTTACTCACCAGAGGGCGTGCCCGCGAACGGGCTGGCGGGGGGCCGGGCCCGGGTCGGGGGTTGGGGACTGGGTGATCCAGGCGGTGCGGCGGAGCCTGAGGCGACCGAGTCTGAGAAGTCTGAGGTGACTGAAGAGATTGAGGCACTGAGGCGACTGAGGCGACTGAGGCGGCGGTAGCGGTTCCTCGCGCTCCAGCCGCGGTGCTGCGCGCGGCGTGGGCCCGCCCCCTCTGTGCGACTAACCAATCCCGCGCCGCGCGCCGCCGCTGGCCCCGCCCCAGCCCAAGAGCAGAGTCCCGCGAAAGCGGGCGCCGCGGGCCAATCGAACGACGGAGCATCGAGTGGGCGACCAATTGGAGCTTGTGAAGCTCCCCCGAAAGAAACCTACAGCGTCGCGGGGGCGGGGGCTGAACCGGACCAATAGCGGTGGGGGCGGTACAGAAAGTTGGGGCGGACAGGAGGCGGTCACTGGACGAAACTGGTCCAGGGGGCGGCCCACGGAAAGGGGGCGGGTCCAGATCCGGGGCGGGGCTATCATGGGAGCGGAGCTGGAACTTGCGCTGACCAGTTACTAGCCCGGACCGCGCCTGGGGCGGGGCAAGGGCGGAACCCCTCGGTGGGGTGGGGCCGGGGCGGGGCCCCGGCTAGGGCGTGGCCTAGGTGGCCCGGGCATCCCCACCGCCAGCGGCCTGGACCCTCCCGGAGCTGGTGCCTGTTCCCTCCTCTCCCGTGGGCCGGGAGCCTTTGGCGGTCCGGAAAGCAGAGTCCTCCCGGCCTCCTGGCCGGTTCCCGAGACCCCGCAGGGACCCTCCTCCTCCCCCGGCGCCGCGCAGGGGCCCCGCTCTTCTTCCCACGCCGCGGACTCCGTTTGCCCCGCAATGTGCCTGTCTGTCTGGCCGCGGGGCCAGAGCAGGTGGGCTTGCGCGTGAAAGTTCGCAGGTGCCTGGTCGGCACGCCTGCCCGCAGGTGGCCCAAGGACGAAGACCGAAGCCAGCTGCCAAGCTGGACTGTCCGGGACAGAGCACGTCCGGGGGCTTCGTGCCGTTACCAGTTCACCACACTCCGGGGCTGGGTTCTGCTGTTGTGTCTCGGTTCTGTTAGCTCTGAACCCTCGTGCCCCGTCTGTGGATTGCGGCCTGTTCTCCGCGAGGATTATTTCTCTCGGCGCAGCATCCACTGCACGAGCCCGATCCCCGGCATCGCGGTGGCCTCGGACCCCTGGGACCACCCGGGGCGGGGACCCCGGAGTCCTGGACGGTGCTCAGTCCTCCTCGGAGCAAGGAGAGGGGTCAGCGGGCCACCGGAGCACAGCTGGGGGAAGAGCCTGGGAACGGCTGCGTCCCAGCTCGGGACCCCGTTGGCACCATTTGTCCCCTAGACCAGGCATTCCCCGGGCCTCTCCTCTCTGAACCCTACTGCTCTGTGGGGGGTGAAGGCCAACCCCACTCAGGAGTCACCATTATCACCTCTGTTTGTGGTGGAAGCATCGGAAATAGCCGGCACTAGAACCTCACTACCGGACACAAGGGACCCCCCTGGCACCCAGAAGCAGGCAAGGCTGGGCGACACCCAGAGAGGTGGAGGGTCCGCACCAGAGGGTGGTGGGTATGAGGAAGGTCGGGAAGAGCTGCGTACTCACGTCGTCATGTGTCACTTCTGTAGTTCAAAGACAACCTTTAATAAAGGAAGGGCGCCGGCCGGAGGGCGAGAAGGGGCTGGACGGGGTCCCCTGGGAAGGCGGCAGCAGCAGGGTCCATGAGTACCTCCTCTCCTCGGGAGGGTCAGGGGGCAGGGGTGTCCCCCGCAGTGTGGGTAGCACCTGTTATGTTCAGAGCAGGGAGCGGGTTTACTAGTAACTGTGCTCTGGGGGCAGGAGCGGGGCGCAGCAGAGGGAGGCAGAGGCCTTGCTTAGCTGGCCCACAGTAGAAACACTGGGGATTAAACAAGGAGGGATTATGGCAGCACACCCAGGACTTGGACCATGAGGTCAAGGTTGCAAGGATTTGCAGCGTCCCGACCTCGTGGCTGTCAGTTTCAGTGAACTCTGCCGGCAAAGGGGCCAGAGGGACCGGGAGACCCTGTTCCCAAGGCCAGAGTGCACGGCGGGGGGTTGGGGGGGCACAGGCAGAGCACCCTCAGCCGCCCCCCGCCCCCGCCCAGATTACAGGCTGCCAGCCGCCCACTTTCCCATCCTCTCCGGGAGCCCGAGGCCTCTCAGCTGCCTTCCTCGCCTCCTGAAAGACACAGTTAGTCATTAGGAAAGTAATGATAGTGTTTTCAGGACAGCATGTTGGACCCTAACAACTTTCAATTATTTCCAGTTCCTGGGAGGGAAAAAAACAGCTCATCTCCTGCCTCCGCCCTTGACACACAAGACAATCCGTGTCTGCGGGCACATTATCATAAATTAGCAGATCTCTGAAAGCCCCACCGCCGACCCCGACCGGAGCAGCCCCCGCCCGCACGCCGTGGCAGCTGGGCAGGGCGGGGCTGGCCCTCGCTCGGCTCCGCCCCCCGAACGGGACCGACCGCCTCCAGGTGTCCCCGCCGAGCCTCTGCGTTTCCCCTGCGTTAGCCCCGTGCGTGCGCTTTCTCCCATCGTCACTGTGGTCCCTCCCGTGAGAAGTGCACCCAGGGGCCCGTGTTTATAAATAACTCCATCGTGCCCTGCTGCGGGGTGCGGGGAGCGGGGAAGGAAGGAGCCACATAATTATCATCTGCTTGGAATGATGTCAGATCAAACCCTGGGAAGCCTCATAGCTCGGCCTTCCTGATGGTTACACACATCCACCCCACCAGGGAGCCAGAGGTGGCCACGTTATCACAGGCTGGAGCATCTGGAGGGGTGTTAGAGGGCTTAAAAGGGCGGGTGGCAAGAAAGGGGGGGGGTGTAAGAGGGGAAATAGATATTCCCAGAACTGTCCCAGTGGTAATCTCCCCCAGGAGCCCTTGCATGCGGGACCCAGCACCCCCAGCTTCAGGGGCCCCTTCTCCTCTGCTATGGAGAGAGGTCTTCTGTGGAGAGCTGGGCAGCTGATGGCTTTCAGCAGGAACTCTCCCCACCCCCACCTCCATCCCACCTCCCTGGGCCTGCCTCAGTGACAACTCACATCGTCATCACAACCATGCCTCAGCTCGCCTAAACACAGGGCACAGTTTGGGAAATGAGGGGAAAGGGTGCATTTTCCGTTCAGAAAACACTGAAGCAGAAAGCCCTCTTCGTAGGACCACACCCCCAGGCCATCCTTAAAGTGTCACTACCCTGCCCTTTCTCCCTGCACTGCCACCACTGTCCTCACAAAAAGCTGCCTGGGGGAGGCTGAGCTCAGAGGTGATTCTGTGGTAGCCAGGGTGATGCCGTGATGCGGGTGCCATGGAAAATCAGGAAGCAGGTAGTTGCTCCCTGTGACATCAGAGCCAAAAGACAGCACCTGACTTGTCTTACCTCGTTGCCGTTGCCCAAGCAAACATTTGCAATTTTATTAGGCAGGGCAATCAATGGGTCCCCTCCCATGGCCCCCAACCCACCTCCTAAGCAATTGTGGGCAGGTCCCAGAGACAGCAAAGCCAGGGCCAACCAGGCCGCTATGGTGCCTGCTCACGTGATGGTGTCGCCAGAAATGGGCTGCAGAATAAGCAGTGAGCATGGACACAGTCGGAGAGAGAGGCACAGGAAGGACAGAAACAGAAGGAGAGAGAGACACAGAGACAGAGAAAGTGAGAGACAGAGAAAGAGAAGCAGAGAGAGACAAAGAGAAGGAGATTGAGTGGGGGGGGGGGGGTGGAGGGACAGAGAAGGAGGGAGGGAGAGAACTGGTCCAGCCAGCTCCAAACCCGCAAGCACTTATCAGGCTCTGGACTGTTTCCAGCATGCTCTGGGTCCCGCCCCGCTTTTATCTTTTGTTTTTCTTTAATATGCAAGGTTTCTAATATTTTGCTTAAACAAGAGAGGTACTGCCATCTTTTTTCTCTCTGAGAACCACCACCACATCTGCTCGCACCTCACAGTAGCAGCAGTAACTTGGGTCATCCGGACTTTCCTTCTATTTTCAGAAGACTTGCAGGGTGAGAGTGGCAGCCAAAAATGCCAGCCATCCTCTGTGTGCCTCAGGGGCACCATTAAGGCTCTAGTGCGAGAACTTTGTTTGAGACGCTCCCCTTCCTCCTTCCCTTCCTCCCTCTCTATACTTGAGGCAGCAGATAAAGACCAAGAGGGAAATGCAAGGCTTCTGACACCGGGAAGAAGACTGGGCCCCAGGTTGTGTGACTGAATGTGGGGGCACTGTGGGTGCCCTGCTTTGTCTACACATATCCAATGGTCTCAAACAGACTCCTGTTCACTTGCTGCTGTTTTTACTAGGGTCATGTGAAACTTTTCTGTTAACACAAATGAGTATCTCCAGTCAGTATCAGAGGAGACGATTAAACACATAGATCTCACTAGAACACGCTTGTAATAGAAAGAGGGCGAGGGGACAGGCTGGGCCCAACCCTTCACACCTTATTACTTGAAACCCCTATTTTCTTAGGGTTCTATCTATGTCATTGGTTCCCAATTACACTGTCTTTCTACTTTATTGGTCTTTGACTCCTGCCATCAAAGACCTCCAATGAGAGACTTCAAATGAAAATTCGAGAATGTAAATGTTAATAAATAAGCCACTAACATGTAAATTAAGGAGGAAAACCCCTTTGCTACAGCAGGGATCACAAACTGGGATTCATAAGCAGGGAATCACAAACCAGGTCATCCCAGGCACAATGACAGCCCGCCCCCCCCTCCCCCCCACTTACCGTGTCCTCCCCGCCCACTCTCTGCCATAGGGAGCTAAGGAGTTTGCAAACCTATGAACAAAGGCAAGGCTACAAAGCAAATTCTCAGAAGGTCTCAAATGTGCTATGCCAAAAACTCCCCAAGATGCAGTGCCAAGGGTCCCATATTCCTTTGGACAGAGCCAGCAGCAAAAAAATTCATCTAGTGGGCCAGGCTGGTATGGCTCAGGGGTTGAGCATCAACCTATGAACATGGAGGTCACAGTTCGATTTGGGTCAGGGCACATGCCCGTGTTGAGGGCTCCATCCCTAGTAGGGGGCATGCAAGAGGCAGCTGATCAATGATTCTCTCTCATTGATGTTTCTATCTCTCTCTCCCTCTTCCTTCCTCTTTGAAATCAATAAAAATATATTTTTAAAAAATTAATTTAGTGGGC